GAGTATGGATTTGGGGATGTCTGATGTCAACTCGCTTCTCCATCCTATTCAATGGAAAATCTTCTGGTTTTTTTAAAACATCAAGACGTATTCGGCAGGGAGATCTTTTGTCTCCATATTTATATACTATTTCTGGAATTAATGTTGGTAGTCTAACTCTCATTTACAGTATGTAGATGATATTATTATCTTTTGTAACCCAGAGGAGCAAAAGTTAAGAAATTTGTGGGTGTTCTTAAAATGTATAGAAATAGCCACAAGTCTCAAAATGAATTTGGAAAAGACCAATCTGATTGGGAATGGATGCTCAGAGAACGTGGTCATATCTGTGGTAGAACGTTTTGGATGTGGGATTGGTAAGTGTCCTTGCAAATATCTAGGTATTCTTTTATTTGGAGGAAACCAATCACCTACTTTATGGGATTCCATTATTGAAAGATTTAATAAGAAATTGGATCTATGGAAGTCTAAAGTGTTGTCTTTTGGAAGTAGATATACTCTTATTAAGTCTAATCTATCCAATTTACCCATTTACTTTAGGTCCATTTTTAGAATGCCGAAGCAAGTGGTGAAAACTTTGAAAAATACTATGAAATTTTTTTCTGGGGCAAAGCGGGAATGGGGAAAAATCTAAAACTTGTGAATTGGGAAAAGATATGCAATTCAGAAAAGGATAGGGGTCTAGGAGTTAAAAAACTCAAACCAATAAACACTAGCCTATTGACTAAGTGGTGGTGGCACTTCCAAAATCAGCAGGATGGTTTATAGTGAGAGGTGTTAAAAGAGAAATATGGAGTCGATGTGTTGACTGATCTCATTAAAAGTCCAAGATCTATGGCTAGTTTTTCAATTATTTGGAAAGGAACTGATGCATGCCAATCATTAGACCTAAGTCACTATCACAAAGTAGTTGGAAATGGAGATCAAACTTTGTTGTGGTTTGACAAGTAGCTAGGTGATCTTGCTCTTTGAGATTCTTTCCTTGAGGTCTTCTCCAAAGTTGACAATCATTTGGCCTCAGTGAAAGAACTCAGACAGGCTGATTTTATTAACCCTTCTTGGAACATTGTTTGCCGGTACAGGAGGATCACAAACTCAACCGTTCAAAAAAACCAAGAGGATCACAAACTCATTCATTCATGAGTTCCAATTACTTATGAATTTGCTGCATAATTTCTTCTATGTTCCCAATAAAGATGATAGATTAGTGTGGGAACTCACAACTTCAGGGAATTTTTCAGTTAAGTCTGTCTATCAACTGCTAGATGAGGAGACTCAAA